AATGGATACCTTTCATAAATCCATTCATAGAATCAAGTCATTTAACCAGTGCCCATTGATTGGTTAAAACATGTGGTAAATCTGTGGAGGGAAGTCTCCTCTTATTTTACTCAGGGGAGAGAGGTTCATGAGGGACCATCCTCTGATCAGCCATTTCATTCTCTCACCCAAGGAAATGTTTGGAGAGTTGTAGGCATTCCCTTTGTGTCAGAAAACTGCTGAGTCACTGTGTGTGTCTGTCATTGGGAAGTGGTCAGTCTGTGAGGGATGTCACTAGGAGGCACAGACTCATCATAAAGCTCAGTATAACGGTAATGAAAGACATATTTGGAAGGCACAACAGACGACATCTTAGGAAACTTCATTCCTTCATTCCCCTTGGTGTCTCTTCTGCTAACTTTGACTTGGAGGTAATAAAAATGAAGTACAGAAATGCTACAAAGCCCCCGTCTCCAGTTTTTTGACCAATGAAAGGTAGACTGGCTTTCCTTATATCTCAAATTTTCTCTGGATCTTGGGTTATTGCATTGGTGATGTAAACAGGCTTTCTGTCAGCTTTTCTGAAGATGTTCCAGTGGCCTGCAGGCTGATTCTGAGTCAATGATGGATGAAAACTTGGAGGCTTTGTTTCTTATGCCCATTTAGCTTTCAAGGAACAGATCAAATTGAGCTGACAGCTAGACTTTTATTTTTTGAACACTAGAGCCTGTTTATAGCAACGCTACAGTTAGAATTTTTTAAAAAATTGTATTATTTTCTATTAATCTATCACAGCTGCTAACTCGGGAAATGAATGGGTGAGCTCTGGTGTGTTGCCCCGGCCAACGGCTCTGTTCCAAGGAATCCCAAGGGGCCTAGACAAATCAGAAGCAAAGCTCCTCACTGGGTTGGTCACCCCAACAAACTCAGATAAACTCATGATAAGAGAAGCCAATAACTCAAGAGACAAGGGTTTGGAAAAGAGAAAGGCAGAAATTTATTTCGGGTGCTGGCTGCTGGAGGAGGTGGCAGATTCAAGTCTTAACAACTGACCTCTCCACCAGTAAGATGGACACCTAGAGTTTTATAAAGAAAGATTAGGGGCAGGGGGTTACATGTAAGAGAGCGGGTAGAGCGTACGATCATAGATGAGGGTCAGTAGGTCATGGTCAGGGTCACGGGCAGGGAAGAGGACCTGTGAGGTGAAGTCTTCTAGACATTCCATTGCTATCAGTGCTTTGTGGTCTGGTGTTCTGGAATGTCTAAAACGTGTGGTAAGAAATAAGCACAGAGGATTTTAGTTGGAGCATGAGTTAAGCTGTCTTATCTATTTCTGGTTTTAACTGTTGGAGCCTACAATCGAGCAAGAGGGCTCACTAACAGCATCCCTTATTTTTCATCTCCGGTCCTTTCTGAAGGCAGCTTACTTCTTATGGCTAGAACTCTGAAGATCTTTTCCCTCTTAATCAGAAAAGAGAAAATGGGATGGAATAGGGTGACTCAGAATTCAGCCCTACCTCCGACCACGTACTCATTCATCCGGAGAGGCAATAAAGAACATTGTTGGATCTTAGCAAGACTGTCTGGAATAATCAAAGAACCCGTGTCAAAGCAGTGCACCCTGCTGACTTAGCAGAGCCTTCTCGTTCTTGCTACTCTGCTGATTGATGTTAGACTACAGGACGGAGTTGAGATTGCTGAGTTTCTTTCTTGGATAGCATTCAGTAATGGTGCACTGTCCCAAATAGTTCAGCCTAAATTTTTTCCCTTAAAATTACCTTCATACAAGATTTCCGGGCCCTTTTCCCACTTGCCCTGGTTGTATCCTTTGTACATATTGCTCTGGTGTTCAGCACTTCAAGGCATTAGTAGATATGAACAAAAAAGAACAGATGGGAGACAAATGAGATAAATGTGTAGAAGCCATATGTGAAAAGTTGTCTTCTTCTATGCATGCTGTTTTGCCAGCGCTCCTTCTAAAGGATGGCATCCTTGGTTTGATAGAACATAGTGAAGAACACTGTGTATTCATGACCCCAATAATCTGGCTATTAAATAGTTTGCATACTGACCGGGCTAAATACATTGATCTGCTCATCTTTACTTACTACCAACAGTATGATTAATAGTAATTATAATAATTATTGTTATACCAATTAAATATAAATATTATTATACCACTTAAATATTATTATACCACCTAAATATACCACCTAAATATATTATACCACCTAAATAAAAAATAATTATTATACCACCTAAATAAATATATTATACCACCTAAATATATTATACCACCTAAATATACCACATACCGTATGAAAAAATTTCCTGAGCACCTTTCATGTGATACCTAACTCAGTGAGGTAGATAATAATAGGAATATACCCTTTACCAAATGAGGATATAATTTACTGAAGGCCACATATCTCTTGAGTCAGGAATCCAGGAATGGCTGTAATATATTGCCAAACTCTTCCAGAGTATTTATCCTTATTTTTATTTATTTATTTGTTTATTTGAGAGAGAACACAAGCAGGGGTAAGGAACAGAGGGAGAAGGAGAAGCAGACTCCCTGCTGACTAGGAAGCCCAATGTGGGGCTAGATCCCGGGACCCTGAGATCTTGACCTGAGCTGAAGGCAGATGCTTAACTGACTGAGCCACCCAGGTGCCCCTTTCCTCATATTTCTTTCAATCAGTTAATTTTAGACTTTAAAGTAAATGCCTTTAAAAGCCATAATGTTTGCAAACCTTACTATAAATCTGTGGACTTTTTATTGGATTTAACATGTATTTAACATGCTAAGACATTGGTAAATCCAAATATCTAATTCCATCTGATACAAACATGAAATTACTTTACAAGCTGTTTGATATAAACATGCATGTACCTCCCCTCACCAAAAAGTTGCACTGAGATGGCAGAAATCATGAAAATGGGGAGGGGGACAGTCCATAGTGTGTTGAAGGCAGGGAGGGTGTTGAGGAAACCACAACAGGAATGGATTTGAGGATGATATGAAGCATATGGATCCAGATGACAATGAATCTGAATTAAGGAGCCCACATCCCAGATAGAAGCAAAATATAAGATTCTAAAAAGAAAATTAGAAGCAGAAGTGAGCCTATGGGCTATAGCCTGCAAATTAATCAAAGTTCTATGGAGCCACTGATCTTAATTTGCACAGTAGCTGTTTCCAGTCCGCCCCCAGAATAAAGCTGTGACCACAGCTTTTCAGTTTGGGAGGTTACTAGGGAAAGCACAGCAGAGAAAAGTAAAGTTGTTAGGCAGATTTCAGTCCATGCGTTCTCCACCAATAACATTTTCTACTGATTTAGTCACCTCCTCACCTCCCTGGTACTGAGGGGGACACCCTTCCAAATGGAGATTTCCCTTCTACCTATAAATGTCTCCTGCAAAAGTGTGACCTGTATTCGGTTTTCATAGTCTCTCATGTGTCCACAGTTTCTTAAAAAAAATAACCACCTTAAAATAATCAGGATACCAAAGAGACATATCTTGGGGTGGTAAAATTTGCTTCCCTACCCCTTTGAAATCCTCAGAACATACTAAGGCAGTATGCTTTTCTCAATAAATGACAATGAGAGCCCTGCAGTTAACAGTATTATCAGTATAGACAGACAGCAGGGCATTTAATGAAAATATTGGTTTTATTGCATGTGTTACCCCCTTGGTTTTCATCATGTATTTTAATTGGAACATTAGCTGTACTTTGTAGATTATTGAAATGTTTGCTTATTGGAATGTTGCATATTAAAATATATTTGGGGCACCTGGGCGGCTCGGTTAAGCCTCTGCCTTTGGCTCAGGTCATGATCCCAGGGTCCTGGGATCGAGCCCCGCATTGGGCTCTCTGCTGCGTGGCTAGCCTGCTTCCTCCTCTCTCTCTGCCTGCCTCTCTGCCTACTTGTGATCTCTGTCAAATAAATAAAGTCTTTAAAAATATATATATTTAAAAGGGATTCTTATCTAGTTAAAAATGTGTGATTAATATCTTTTAATATTGGGAGATTTATGAATTACCCTTGAGGTTGCTGAAAAACAAAAGTTAACTGAGTAAATTTGAAAATCTAATTGGCTTTACTAAATGATTCATGAACCAGGCAGCATCCCATCTAGCAAGCGGAGAGGAGCTCAGAGGAATTGCACAACACTTTTATAGAATAAGGGTGGGGGCAAGAAAGTTACTAACAGAAGAAAAGGTTTTTCCAGACAAGGTAACTTTCCCTGAGAGGGAAGAATAGGGGGTCTTATCAGGCAGATCACTTCATCTTCCTTTTGGGGAGAGGGTGATGGAGGGGGCCGTGCTGCAGACATTTTGCCTCTGATAGGAAAATTCCTGACTGGTTCAGGTTGAGACTAAGACTACATTTCTGGGTGAAGTTGAAAATGCAGTAAGATTAGCTATTAATCACCAGTTTGGGAATTCAGCCTAAGTGGCACCATTTTGGGCCTGTGGTTTTATAACTGGGGCACAGGGGAGTGAGAGCCCCTGGGTCCAGGGTCCCAAACAGACCGTGTTCAGAACTCACTGCTGATAAAATTCGAAGGCAGAGAAATGAGTGGTGGTGAAACCAGAAAGGAATTGATTTCAGTGAGAACAACACCGGGAAGACCGTGGACTAACATCTCAAACACTGTCTCCAAAAAGCCAATAGTACTTACAGGTTTACACAGGAAAATATGGGGCAAATGTGGGGGGGCATGTGCAGGTTAAATCCATCCTTGTCTTGGAGTCAGTTACGCACAGGGTCTTGCTGGCTCTGGGCAGACACTATGGCTTGACGCAGTAGTGTCTGTCTCCTGTCTGCTCCAAGCCCCAAACTCGAAAGAAGAACCCAAGCAAAAAAGTTTGAGGTCAAAACAGAGACAGCCCAAGTCCTCTTTCAGTTTTCTTTTTAACAACATCATATGTTTTAAACTATTACTCGTTTATAAACAACTGAAAACAATTTATTTTTTTATTCTTTTGTGTGTGTGTGTGTGTGTGTATTTAGGATTTGGAAATATCTCACCACGCACAGAAGGGGGAAAAATATTCTGTATCATCTATGCCTTACTGGGAATTCCCCTTTTTGGTTTTTTGTTGGCTGGAGTTGGTGATCAACTAGGGACCATATTTGGAAAAGGAATTGCAAAAGTGGAAGATACATTTATTGTAAGTATAATAGCCTTTTAACTACATATGTTGTTTAAATTTTTTTAAAATTTTTCTAACACCTCAGGTATGGGTAGACAATCAAGTTATTGGGTTTTCCATGACCTTTTATATGTACCTCTATTAGCAGGTAACTCACTTCCTATTTTTGTAATTAATTTGAATGAGTAAATTAGTGCATGGGAAAAAACCAAAAATATGCAGAAATAAAGTAGAAATCTGACAATCCTAGCTTCCAATTCCAGATGTCTTGACTTACTGTATTCTCTTAAGCTAGTTATTTTACCTTGAAATCTCCATTTTGTCGTTTATACAATATGAATAATGGTACTGGCAATGCAGAGGCACTTTGAGAGTTAGAGATAATAAATAAAAGCTTGGGGCACCTGGGTGGCTCGGTCAGTTAAGTGTCTGACTCTTGGTTTTGGCTCAGGTCACGATCTCAGGGTGGTGAGATGGAGCCTCTAGTCGGGCGCCTCACTCAGGACAGAATCTGCTAAAGATTCTCTTCCTCGTGTGCCTGGGTGGCTCAGTGGGTTAAAGCCTCTGCCTTCCGCTCAGGTCACGATCCCAGGGTCCCGGGATCGAGCCCCACATTGGGCTCTCTGCTCAGCAGGGACCCTGCTTCCCCCTCTCTCTCTGCCTGCCTCTCTGCCTACTTGTGATCTCTGTCAAATAAATAAATCTTTAAGAAAAAAAGATTCTCTCCCTCCCATTCTACCTCCCCACCTCCCTACTCCACCCCACCCCACTGCTGCTTATTTGCATGCATTCTTTCTTTCTGTCTCTCAAATAAGTAAAAATTTAAATTAAATACATACATACATACATACTTAACATAGCTAGTAAATAACTGACAGTGTTTTCTAATTTAAAATTTGCTTTGGTATCTTTGTTTATTCCTGGTAGTGTTCTAAATTTGTATAGCCCTTTTGTGAAGGACAATTTTTTAGCAAACACAATAAAAGTGATCATATACTTTAATTCAGTGATGTCACTGATAGAAACTTATCCAAGGGATATAATTTAGTAGAGCCAAAAGTATTATATACATGTCTTAAGATGTTCATGGCTGTATTATACTCAACAGAAAAGGATAAGTAAAATGAAAATGCTTTTATTAGAATGATGAATGAAAAATAGTAATAATACCACAATGATTACAAGTTTTTATTCCTGAGGAAAATGACCAAGAAAATAGTTGCATGAGCGGGGGGGTTGTAAAGAAGATGTTACTACCATCACCTGTATTACAAATACATTTTATTTACTCTTCAATAATCTCTTCATCTCTTCACAGACATTTCAACAAAGTATTTTACATGTGATTCTCCTGATAAAATAAGACTACTGAGTACTGGTTTTTCAATTTATAGTTCCAGTTTTTAGCATTAGTTATGTTTCCAGTTCCAGATTCACTCTTAGATATTTCTGAAGTTGGAATGGGGTAGGCTGAATATTGTAAAATAGGAGTTTCATCCCGTTCTGGGTAATATGCTTTTCTTATACTGATATTAAAAGCATCTTGTATTTTTATTAATTAAGAGGGAAGATTAGTGGCATCAACTTGGTAATGATGAACTGTTCATTCATTCAACAAATTTATTTTGCTTAATTTTTTTTTACATTTGAGTATAATTGACATACAGCGTGACATTAGTTTCAGGTAAACGACTTAGTGATTTGACAAGCTTATGCATTATGCACCACAAGTATGGTTACCATTTGGCACATTGCATTGCTATTAGAGTATCATTGACTGTTTTTCTTACATTGTGCCTTTCATTCCCTTGACTTACTCATTCCATAACTCGAAGCCTGTATCTCTCTCTCCCCTTCACCCATCTTGCCCAATTCCCCCCTCTCCCTCCCCTTGGGCAACCATCAGTTTGCTCTCTGTATTTATACTTCTGATTCTGCCTTTTGTTTATGCATTTGTTTTATTTTTTTTTCCCAACAAATTTTTGGGTGCCCACTGGATGCCAGGTGATATTTTTCATGCCGCATCTACATCGGTGCATGAAACACATCCTGTATCCTGGTGGAATTAATACATTCCAGTGGTCCTGATTCCACACTTGGTACTAGTCCCTGTCATGAGAACTTGGCCAACATGAGTTCATTTAAATGTCACATATGTGATAAGGACAGTAGACTAGAGATAGTTTTTGTTTTTTTTTCACTTTCCATTCTGTGGTTTCATAGATCTTTATCTCTAGGAAATTTTCAAGTTCTGAAACTCAGTGGGTTTTATATGGTGGGCATGTGACCTGTAATTTTCATAGCAGATAGGACAGAACCAGTTAACAGATGGAGAATATACAGTGATTAGCCTCAAATGGAGATCCGGAGATATGCTGTGTGTACAAATGTAATATGGGATACGGGGGAGATTCTTGAGAAGAAGGCTGAAAAGACAGCTATAGTGGAAAGGTGTTTAAGATTCAGCCTTGCCTACCTGTCAAGTTTGATTTATTTAGTTGTACAGTTTAAGGCCATAGAACAGAAAGACAGTTCATCTGGTTCACAGAGGAATCAACTATGGACTTTAAGTCTGCTAGTATTTCAGTGTAATCGGTACAACAATGATAGAAAAACACAGGAGTGAGGAGGAAATTTTTCATAAAATTAATCATTTTCTCAATTATCAATACAAACTATTTTTTCCATGGGTCAGTTTTGTCTATTTTCATATATTTCTAGAATCTGTTTGGCCCTCAGTCAGTAGTATGCCTACAGAATAGAAATATTTCAAAGGTAAACCAGATAAACAAAGAATGATGTACACTGAAACTGTATTCTCAGAGCAAATGTAATTTATTTCGAAAGCATTTTGCCTGTTGTGCACCATCATTGATATTGATTGTTTTGAGTTCTTCATGTTATGCCCAATTTTTATAAGACAACTGAACATTCATTATAAAAGGGAAAAAAAAATAACCTCACTTGCGAATTTGCTGAGAACGGGGTATTAGGTATGCCCATGATCAATAAATCTCAGTTAGTGTCTCTCTCTTGCTCTCTCCACTCTTATCCTTAGAAGTGGAATGTTAGTCAGACCAAGATTCGCATCATCTCGACGATCATCTTTATACTCTTCGGCTGCGTACTCTTTGTTGCCCTGCCCGCGATCATATTCAAGCACATAGAAGGCTGGAGTGCCCTGGACGCCATTTATTTTGTGGTCATCACTCTAACCACCATTGGATTTGGTGACTACGTGGCAGGTAAGTGTTTTTCCTGGCACCAACCCTGCTCTCCTAACCCGTGTCTTTTAGTTAGACCTTTTCCTCAGGTTTGCAGCACAACCCAGTGTCTTAGTTTCCCAAGCCTGCTGTCAGGAGCCAAGTGCCCCAAAACTGGGGGCCTTTAAACAAAAGAAATTCATGGCCTCACTGAATTTTAAAATCAAGAGGACTACTGAAACATGGTCCCTCTGAGACTCTAAGTGGAACCCCTCCTGGCCTCTTCCAGCTCGTGAAGGAGGCCATCCGTCCTTGCCTGTCCTGCTTCATTACTCCCATCTCTGCTTACGACAGCACACGACATTCCTTCTTTCTGTGTCTCTGTCACTGTGTCCAGATTTCCCTTTTCTTACACGGACACCAGTCATACTGGACAAAAATTCCCCACTGTACTCCAGTATGAGTTCAGATGAACTAATTACATCTTCAGATGTTCCAAGGTACTGGGGATTAGGACTTGAGCATACCATTTTGGAAGACCATTTCATCTATAACAGGGACAGAGAGACGAAAGAAAAGTCATTCTGGGACAGGAGGTAGGCAGAAGGGTGCAGTTGGAACATTTATTTTCATTCTAGAAAAGAAATTTGAGTTGCTGTTGTTCAGAATCTTATATTTGCACCCTAATTTCAGAAACCAGACAATCTGCCTCTAATTTTTGTTTTTTATGCATTTATTTTTCTTTTACTGTTAGACAAATTCGAGTTTATCTTTGCTCTTTTTACTTAAGCCTTTTCATGTCTCAGTTTTACACCTGCAAACTTCAGAAGATGTTCTAAGCTACTTAAAACCTTCTTTTCTCTAAGATATTTATCTCATTTAATTTTCAGTTCTCAGGACAGTATTTTTTACATTTACCAGTATCCACACTTTTTATTCATGTTTTTTGGTATTTCCTTTTCTACATGTTATTACAACTGCAGTTTGCTTTATTGTGGTATCTCTTGGGTCTTAACTTCTGTGACTTTAACTCCCTCTTTACCATTTATATTATCCAATTATCATATTATTCTAATTCCAATTTTAGATAAATTATAATAACAGCGGTAAAAGTAAGCACAATGGCATTCTATCTTGGATCATTTTGACCAGCTCTTGAAAATCTAAACCATTCTTTTTTAGAAAATCCAATGTTAAGTATTAGAAAACTTGCTAACCATATAGTAGGAATGTGCCCTTAAACTTCGCAGGATAAACTCACCAGCCTAATTTAGCTTTACGAGAGTTTTATACTTTCTGGCTGTTCACTCTTCTTTCTTGCCCCAAAGTTCTTAAATGTTTTCAGAGAAAAAATGTTTTGTACAGTTCTAGAAAATCTCAGAGAAGGCTGATAGTTCATCTGTTTCTACTGATTTGTTAATTATGGTTTAATCTGGCAAAGCCTAGACTGCCCTTGAGGATGCACATGCTTTCATGAAGGAAGCATATATGTAGTTCCTTATAGGAAGACAAATTTCTGCCCTAAAACACCCATTTTTCTATCTCTGAGGGTATATGGTTAGCTTAAGTCAAAGTGGAAAAATGCATTCATGTAGGAGAAAGTAAGACACAGTGAGATGATAACGATTCAGACTTGTGATATGTTAACCTTGGCCTCTTGCACTACTTTATAAATATCATTAACAAGGTCTTGGAGCAGCTGTGGAATATATAGGTATTTGGTGAGAAGTCTAAGGCCAACAGCCTTGCACTGCCTGTGTTATTTTAATTTTTAATAGTAATGCAACATTTTATTTATTTTTCAGCTTTGTTGAGATATAATTGAAAATAAAATTTAAGGCGAGCCTGAGTGGCTCAGTGGGTTAAAGCCTCTGCCTTTGGCTCAGTTCAGGACCCTGGGATCGAGTCCCACACAGGACTCTCTGCTCAGCAGGGAGCCTGCTTCCCCCTTTATCTCTCTGTCTGCCTCTCTGTCTACTTGTGATCTCTGTCTGCCAAATAAATAAATAAAATCTTAAAAAAAAAAAAAGAAAATTTAAGATATTGAAAGTGTACACATGGTGATTTGATATAAGTATACATTAAGAAAGGATTCCCACTGTCTATTAATTAACACATTAACATATCCATCCTTTCACGTAGCTCTCTTTTGAGGGAGTGGGCAGGGGTAAGAACGTTTAAGTTCTACTCCTAACAGATTTCAGTAATACAATACAGTGCACGTGTTATTTGAAGAAATTGACAGACTCCATTAGTCTAGTATGTGTCCTGGTCTGGTAAAAACAAAAACAAAAAACCCTCAAAGATTATAAAAAAAAAAAAAGTGGGTGGAATCCTAAAATAATGTTGTATTTGTGACCACAGTATAAAGTGGCTTAGTAAAAAGGAACAAATATTTTTACTTTATGGTTTTGTAGAAGATTGAAAAATAATACCTTTTTTTAAAAAAGATTTTATTTATTTAGAGAAAGAGGGAGAGAGTGAGCGTGTACTAACTGGGGGGAGGGGCAGAGAGAGACACCCCGCTGAGCAGGGAGCTCCGGGAGGGGCTTGATCTCACAACCCCCCATGACCCTCTCAGATCATGAGCTGAGCCAAAATCAAGGGCTGGAGGCTCAACCCACTGAGCCACCCAGGCGCCCCACCTATTCTTTTTTTAAACTTTACCTCAAGAGATCAGCACTTTGAAACTGGCTAGATCCTATGGGTCTCTTCATAGCCACTCGAATAGAAGAGCAGTTCACTAAGAACGTCTTGTGTGTATGAGTGGAGACCCCAAATCCAGAGTCCTGACAGAGCACTATAGGGGAACATGGTCGCAAAATGATACTTGTGTGACATAGTCATCTAATAAACATCTTTATTATTACTAAGATTTTATTCTGTCACGCCCTTGCTAAGCCTATTACTGGGATTTTATTTTTATTTTGCAGAGGAAGCAATAGAAAGCACTAGAAATATGCCTTGCTAAAAATTAGCAAAGGAAGGATTAAAGTGGCAAATGCTGAGAAAGATAACATAGAGCAGAGTCCTTACCTACCAAGCAGGTCCCTGTGCCCAGGGAGTGGTTTTGGAAGGAGACGTGGCAAAGGCTGGTAGGACATGTGTTCTCTTAGCAAGATTCTTTGGAAAAAACAAAAACCTTGAGTTCTTTTTTTAAGGAGCTGGGAAAAGAATTGCCTTGCTTAATTCAACAGAGTACACGCAGTGTTTCCTTCTGGGTCGCTTGTGGCTAAGCAGCAAAAGTCAGCTACTGAGCAAAAGGCAAGCATCCCATCTGGGAAACTGCAGTTGTTTCCTTTGTAGAACCTTCCCCTTTGAGATTCCACGTCACTACAGATAGTACTGTCACTTAACCTTGGTATCTTCGCCAAGGAAAAGCAGGAGGCAGTGCTCTAACTTGAATCTTCTCGCCTTTCTATTGGGCTGTGAATACCACAAGAACACAAAGATACGCATCCAGCAATGCACACTCACCATCGCATGCCCTTCTCATGCCTGCCAGCCCTGCTCTGAATGCAGTGAAGGTTCAATCACATTGTCGTATGGAACTCCTTGGAAGATCAATTAAAGAACATACTCTTCAGACTGATGTTATTAAAGGAGAATAAGTAAATCTTGGAAAGTGATGTATGAATGTTTAGGATGCAGGTTGTCATCTTGGTGTGATTATTACAAGTATCTCGAGAGCAACAAGTAAAGACACGTGGTATTTTAGACCAGAACTCTGAAACAGAGAGCCCATCTCTAGGGTATAAGCAAGAAAGTCCATGCCAGGTATATTTTCTGCCATGGGAGGCAAACAGGACAACTCCTGTTTCTGTGTATTTTAAGCCTCATTCCTTACTTTTTCTTCTTTCTATGTCGTAGTGTTCATGATATAATATATAAGAGCATCATAGATTTTTTTTTTTTTTGAGAGAGAGAGAGAGAGCAGGAGCAGGGAGAGAGGGCAGAGGGATATGGAAAGAGAGAATCTTAAGTAGGCTCCACATTCTGCAAAGTGCCTAATGTGGGGCTCGATCTCACGACCCTGAGATCATGACCTAAGTTGCAACCAAGAGTCAGACACTTAAGCGTCTGAGCCACCCACGCACCCCAAGCATGACAGACTTCTAATTTATAACCAAACACACATTTAAATGTGTGTGTGCAAAACCTTTTCACTGTTGGTAATATTGAAACAAAATCATTTACAGACCACTAGTAAAGACAGGATAGACAGGGCTCAAGTTTCATTGTATATGTGACTGAAAACAGGAATTCCGCATTTAGTAGTTTTTCTGCAGCAAAAGATCTGGAAAATTTAATTTTATATTCATATTTATGCAAGGAAGGTGTTTTAGTGGCTGGTTGATTACCTTAGTGGTTGGTGTGCGCTCCTTCCAAATGGGCTTTTTTGCTCGTTCACTAGCTCTCCATGTTCTAGAACTAAAAGAACCCAGGAGGCCACAGGCAACTCCCACGCTTACTTTACACATGAATAAACAGATCCCTATTACTGAGACTACTGCTTGCACATAGTAACCCATCCTAAAAGGTGAAGAGAGGCAAACTCATTTAGCAAAGTGTCATTTACTTGATTTTAGCAGTACCTGTAATTTATAGTCCGATTACACCGGGAAGTTAAATAACTTTAATGGCAAAAATTATGTTTGAGAATTAACTGTTCATTTCCTTATGGTCTGTTTCTTAACTTTTGCCATTTCATTTTTCATGTAATGAAAGGTCTGGTGATAAATTGTTAAATCATGCTTACCTTGTAGACTGAGAGCTAAATCAGTTTTTCATTAAAACCTAAGCAGTTATATTAATTATGTGGAAATGTGTGACAGATTGAATTCTATTTATACAGGCTTGCCTCTATGACTAGTCTTCCAGGTCCATGGTTTTTGTTTTGTTTTGTTTTTTAAAATGGTGATTCTTCAAATTTGGAGAGAAGTCAATTAATTACCAAATATAATGCAATTTAAAATTCTTTTCCAAGGCCAGTGTCTCCTTATATATGCTCTTGGGGTAAAAGTGGGTCATGCAAGCCAAGA